AGTCGAGGAGGTGGAAAAGGGAAGATGCAAGGTTTATGATGATGGTATATTGTTAGATCGACACATGTGAGTGACAATCCCCCAGGTCAGGAAAGAATTTATAGGAAGAGAAGGGAACAAGAAACCAAGGCAAGAATGGAAGAGGAAATGCGAGACTGATGTGTGTATGAGTAGGTGTTATAGGTGTAGGTGAAGGTGAAGCAAGCCTGTATGGAGGTCAGGTTCTGTTTAAGTGAGTGACACCTACTACCCCCCACTAGAGACAGCCAGATCCATGCCCGAGATATGGATTTATTCGCCCACTGAGTTCAACAAAAGGACATGGATGGATATGGAAGGGGGCCACTTCATGGATCAAGGATCAACAACCAAATCTCATCACAGAAGCTCGACTCGTCTCGTCTCGAGAGCCCTAGGTAGGTAATTAATGGACAGGGCCTAGTAGATGGCCCAAGGGGAATAGAAACATTTCAGGCCCAGGGGGAGCGCCAGCTTACAACGTGGCCAGTGGGAGACGACGCCGTGATCCGGGATTGGCGGCACTAGCTGGATCCCAAGGCCAAGGTAGGGAGGGAAGGGACTGACGATGATGAGGTCCACTGCGTCCGCTAGAAGCTTTTTTTCTTTTAGTGGCTTGGGCTCCCTAGACTGACAAGACGGGACAGGACAGGGGGAGGCGATTTCTGGGGGGGGGCGGGAGGCTTGACGGGCAGCCCAGCCCAGAAGGACGAGCAGGCCTCCTGAAGTTCCGATCCAACATACCTAGGTAGGTAATAATATGATTCTTTTCATGCTTGGTGGCCTATGGCTGGGACAAGTGATTTATTGAGGCATCCTTACAACAATCCTACGTCTTGGAACCAAATCAAGGTACCACGGTAACCCAAACGCCAGGATGACAACACGACGAGCGAGCGGCTCTGTTGATGGATGGTGGACCTGGAGCTTCAATCCAATTCTAGGTATCCTGGCCCTCAGGGAGCAAGAAAACTCAAGACGTGAAAAGAGGATGCCAAAATAAACGTGGCAAAGAGCGCCATAAGCTTAGGCTAGATTAGCCTAAATAAATTTGTCGATTAGGGTCAAGTCCTGAGTTTTCTTTTCTCCCCTATCCTGGCCGGCGCTAGGCCCATAGGTTGCAATAAAAGATCTAATCATCGTGGCCACTGATACGCCAGCTTCCAGCCACCAACTGGGACGATTACCACGGATGGTAATCTTGGAATTGAATCGGATGGCAATTACGGACATGGCCTGTTCTTTTCTCACAGGCCTCCATGTCAACACGTGTTAGGTGGTATCCTGTCTTCTAACTTACATAGTACTTACTCCCCATTCCGCGAGTAACTCAGCGCCCACAGAGGGCAAAGAAAGTCGCATGATTGTAATGCTATATATCGTTGCAAGACAATGTCCATGCATTGCTGGCCGCCGGGAGTGAGCTCGAGTACGGATACTGCTGCGGGTCTGCAGGATGCCCTCATAGGCTGTTAATCCAGGATTCTTGTAAAAGATCATCCTACCGATGAGTTGGAACCCTTATGTGCATTTGGGGGTTCCATCAACTGTTTTGTTTATTTGGTGGGATGAGGGGAAAGGTGGGTTCAATGGCTGTGTTATGCATGTCACTGATGTCTCGAATGTGGTTTTGTCCGTGTATCGATGAGACATCACCGCCTTTGTTTACGACGTTGAGAGCAACATCAACATCCCACTTGCAATACCGCCTCTATTCTTTGTGATGCTCCGCACGCCGAACCTGATGATGGTCTTTGCTGTTTATCACGGAACGGATACGGACCGTATACAAACGCTGCCTGGCCGTGCATGCTTGCGTCAACAGGCAAGCAACGAACAGTGCAACTAGACCGTTGCAGCCCTTTCGGTACTGAAGACGGTTGAGAATCTTGCACGATCTTCTCATGATTTGTTGATCCACCTGAGCAACATGATCATGATTGTTCTCCTTTGCGGTGTTCGACTCAACAAAAGAAGCTTTTGGATGGCCAGACGCCACGAAGTTAAGGGATGACAAGGTTGATTTTAATGGGTAGGTAGTTGCTCTCGCGCTGACGGGTGTCTTGAAGCCATTTGCCAACGACTGTTCTGTTCTCTCCCTTGCCAAAGTTTGGGAATCGCCCGCTCGTGATGATTCCATTAGTACTCACTTATCGCTGCAGTGTCTTTGTCGTCTCGAGTTTGTTCATAGCACTGACAAGCATTGTGGTCTCATATACAGTCTGAGGTGCCTTGAGGAGTAGCTTGATATGCCGCCCGTGTGCCGTTACTGACCGCGGACAAAAGAATGCGATGAGCTCGATCACACATATCTACCTAAGTTACATTAGTAGGTAGGTCGTGTCCTCAAGATCGGTCAAATACCAAAGAAAGAAAAAAGAAAGAAAGAAATACAAAGAAGCGATTCGAATGTTCTGATAGAATTCGGATGCGAACAAGCTCTGTGACTAATGCGCCAAAGAGCGCATGGCAATACCGTGAATGAAGCATGGTTTCATTTCCCTCGATTCTGCGTGTGTCTTTTTGCTTAAGTTACAATCAAGATGCAAAATAGTAGAAGTTTTCTAGAATCTTAAACAATAGCGCAAGGTGTACTTGGATGTGAACAAAGCATTTGTTGGTAGGGCAGGTCGTACAGTAGCTATCTTGCACTTTGACCATATTAAACCTTTAAATAACCATATTCCTTTGTCGTCCGATATGATAGTTCACGAGTCGCCAATTAAACTCGCCCGCGCCTCGTAGGTTCGTGCCAACCATGACCTCTAACTTCAGGTTGCCGTCTGACTCTTTCTTCCCTTTGGCTTAGGGAGTTAGTCTTTGAGGTTATTTCAGGTTCTCAAGGCAGCAGCAGCAGCACAGGTCCACTAGGTTCCTTCCTGTAAACCTTACCTTGGCACTCTGAGATTCACTGATATAAAACGCGCGATTCCTCCAACCGAGTCGGGTTTCTCTACTCTCACAATCATCACCGTCATCACAACCACCTCACTCTCCAAGACCGACCACCAGTATCAAGATCGCTTCTTCATACCTTAGTACTCAACACACTTCTCATCAAGCCGCTTATCTTATCTGACTAAGCCCGCCCCATCTGAAAGAAAGGGTCCTGAGTCTGATTCACAGCCCTGCCTCTAGGTACGTAGTCTACGCCCTCGCGCCGCTGATTGAAGCACGAGGCACCCACCTCAGTCTACCTTTTACCCCGCCACAGTGATTGGTTTATTGGTCGGTTGGTTACCTAGCCTCCGCTACGGGCCTACTTGCCTAGGTACCTAATGACCTAGCTGACTCCTCCAACTTCCATCATCACCCAAAAACAATCACGAATCCTCTCTGCACTTTCTCTTCGCAACCCGCCAAATCTCTTACTTACATCACCAGTTACTCTAGCACGAACCGTAAACATACCCAGAATGTCCGATTCTACCTCTACACAGAAGGTCTGGCTGGCCTCCAATGATAGCGCCATTATTGAAGTCGGTAAGTTGAAGGGACACTCTGCGACGGATCTTGCTCATATTCCTAACTAACATCAACAGACCGCGTTGTTGCCGAGCGATCCATGCTGATCAAGAACATGTTGGAAGACATCGGTGATGAGGGTATCAATGCTGAAAACCCTATTCCTATCCCCAACGTACGTAACTTCTTTCAGTACTTGACTTTTTCACGACTGACATGTAGTTCCTTAGGTGAACGAGGCTGTTCTTCGCAAGGTGATTGAGTGGTGCGACCATCACCGCAACGACCCCCTCCAGGCACAGGATGACGATTCCGACGCCCGCAAGAAAACTACCGATATCGAGGAGTGGGACCAAAAGTTCATGCAGGTCGATCAGGAGATGCTGTTTGAAATCATCCTTGTGCGCCCACCCATTCCTATTCATCAAATCATTGGAAACTAACATTTGACGACAGGCATCCAACTACCTCGACATCAAGCCTCTTCTTGACGTCGGTTGTAAGACTGTTGCCAACATGATCAAGGGCAAGTCTCCCGAAGAGATCCGCAAAACTTTCAACATTACGAACGACTTCACTCCCGAGGAGGAGGAGCAGATTCGCCGAGAGAATGAGTGGGCTGAGGATCGTTAAGCTCCCGTTTGTGTATGATAATGGATAGAGGTTGCGGGGAGGTGCAAGTCGGACTGTGGCGTGGATCGATCCTTTGGTCATGGCTTACAGGGAACTTTCCTTCGAGCCTTCTCAATCCAGGATCATATGAATCTTGATGAGTCACAGGGGTCGTATTAGGCGTTAAATTTGGTTTTCCGGGTTGCTTGGGCCAGAGTTTTGGCACGCTAGGAGCACAAATAGGATTGCTTACGGTAACATGATATTGTCCAAGGCAGGCTCTCTACGGTATTTAGCTCCCCGGGCAGTATCTGAACACGAGCTTCAAATCCTACACTGTGAAGCAATGGTAGAAAGTCATTTCGACTTAGCTTAGGACTTCAATTCATGATTGCCATTAAACCCGGGGTTATCAAGACGTTCAGTTATGCAGTGGTCAGCTCGAGGTCTGTGATGAATACGCTGGTGAAAGTGAGGGCGGAGGGTTTGGGGCGTGATTCCTCCATTTGACTACTTGAAGATTTGCATAACAGCATACAGTCTGCTGTTAATAAAGGCAGCACATAGGAGCCAACATTTGCGTTGTCGTCGTTCACAGGCGAGGTAGACTGCATCCATACAGTTCAGGCCCGTTTTCTTTTTTGGGGCATCAAAGTCTTTGCATTCCTTTTTCCCTATGACCGTCCGTGACATGCAGTAACCGGCAATAATCGATAAACCAGGCAACCGGCCCGTCGCCCCCGTGCGCACGCGCAGTGCAGTGCGGACACGGCCCCTTGGTTCAGTTCACGTCACAACAATGTCGTTCCTCCCCTTTTCCGTTCACATCAATCATCGTGATACCATGCCCAAGAGAAAAGTCGGCTGCTGGGCTTGGGGGCAGGTAACAGTTGACGATCGTCGGTTTAGATACCGATGCGGGTCTTGCGCCAATGCCTTCGCTTAGCGTTGTAGCTGTTTAGGAATGTTAGCCAAGGGTTACTCTGCTCGCGGGCGGACTGGTAGAGTCGTCAAGTTGTGGTGTCGAAGGGGGGGGTTCAAAACGCACCGGATGGTGTTGCCAGTTCGGAGGCGAATCCATTGAGGCACAGGGCGGTTCTGCTTCTGGGCCTTGGCAAGCTTCTGCTTGGTTCGGAAAGACTTGTGGCTCTGTGTGAAAAGGAATAATTAGCGATCCGGTGTCATGGGAGCAGAGCCCTCGAGAGATCGCGACTCAGTTTCATCATCGACGGTGACGCGGCGGGAAATATATTCATTCATTCGGTCCAGAATTCCGTTGTCGATGATGAAGAGAGCGAGAGCGTGCTTCCGAGGGCGATAGGTAGGGGCTGTCATACCGGCATGTTGACGGCGTTGATGGTCGAGTCGGTCAGTCGTTGCCAAATGGTGATAGAGTATCGAAATGCAGTACACTTGTTTCGAGGAATTTCGCCTCTAGGGTTAGGTTTTCACACTTGATTCTGTGGGTGGGGGCAGACGTTGGTGCCTGAGGTTTACAGGGTGAGCGAAGCGAGATCCACCGGACCTCTTGTCGGGCATGTTTGATGGCTGATGGTGCTGAGGTAAGCACTTTTGAGCTCGGCTCGTGACTCTTTCGTTGGAACTCATGACAAAATTACACAGTCCCTAGCTCTGAAAAAGGTCTTCAAGGTAGGTAGTGAGTGACCCGTGAGTTGTCCACCTGACGAAATTATTGGGACATATCCTCTGTGAGAAACATGATAACAACCAATTAATCAATCTGACTGATATACAAGCTCTCGATGTACATGTGGCTATACAGATAATTCTCTTGGATACGGAGTACTTGGATGCCTATTAATGAAAACGCCTCTGTCTCAGGAGGACCTAGCTACCTACCTATATAGACCTGGAGGCCATGCACTGCCACATATCAACAACCTCATCATATTCCCTGGCGAATGGCTTACACCACAGACAGACTGTCAAGAGAGAACTCTTGTCTTGCAGGGGCTCAAGGCTGAGGTGGTCCGGGTTATTTTGTCAGGCGCTTGGACCAACCCAACGCCGCCAAAACGAGCAACTTGTCCATGAGAGGCCAAGATGCATTAACTTAAAGGTCCAGAAAAGGGGACCTCTACCTACCTTACTTACCTAAATTACTAACGTATCCCGTGCTTTCTACCTATTCCACTTCACTGACTACCAAGGCAAACACAAGTTGCACGACAAACGACGAACGACGAACGAACTTGATCCGTGTCCGGCATTTGACAGCCTAATCCGCCTCTTTTACGTCGTCGCCAGTGCAAGACGATACCTCCACTACCTACTAGTTATCCAAACGATCCAAGTCGCAGAGCAGAACCGATAGCAGCACAAGATAAACAGGAGTTTCGAAGCCGTCGCAAGTTTTTCATCATGGGAAACTCAATGTCATGGTTCTCCAACCTACTGTTTGCGAAAAAGGAGATCAGAATATTGATCCTCGGCCTGGTAGGATGACGTCTATCCGACTATCGATCGCATGGCCCTGAGACGCTAACGAGGCGGCATCATAGGATAACGCCGGAAAGACAACATTGCTGTACCGACTCAAGGTTCGAATCTCCAGATATACACGCGCATGATCCGTGTTAACAGGCGCTCAAGGTTGGCGAAGTTGTCACAACGATACCTACAATTGGCTTCAATGTCGAATCTGTCACATACAGGAACCTAAACTTTAACGTCTGGGTACGATCTCGACCTCTTCCCGTCTCGAAACGGGTCAGAAATACTAATGCGGGCGACCACAGGATCTCGGCGGCCAAACAAGCATCCGACCTTACTGGCGGTGCTACTACGCCAACACAGCAGCCGTCATCTTCGTTGTGGACTCGACCGATATCGAGCGATTACACACCGCTTCAGAGGAGCTCTCGGCTATGCTGAACGAGGAGGAACTGAAGGATGCGGCCCTGCTGGTCTTTGCCAACAAGCAGGATCAACCAGGAGCCAAGGGCGCAGGTGAGATTTCAGAGGCACTGCGTCTGGGTGAGCTCCGCGACCGCAACTGGAGTATCATGGCCTGCTCAGCGGTCGATGGCAGCGGTGTGAATGAGGGCATGGATTGGCTTGTGGTGAGTTTTGCCATAGTCCGGTACAACCCTCGAGGTGCTAACACCTGCATTTTCAGCAAACCGTCAACCAGGACTAAGCTCGATGACGATTTCTTCTTCAGCCCCGGTTTGGCATTGTACAACAGACAAAATGAAATAATAGTACCAGTTTCCGGTTCCATCACACCTTGGTAGACAGCGTTTATAAGGGATAAGGGAAAGAAACGGATGGAGCAGATATCGGCGTCTTGGCAGAGAGAAGGTGTTTTTCCCCCCTCATAAGAGATGAAAGGAATGAACAGCATGGGTGCGTTTCTCGAGGGAGGATATATGATAGTATAACTTTATAATGCTACGATCCGGGTCCGATTGAGTCCTGGCTATGATTCTCAAGAATTTCTCCTTGCTAGATTTTCTTCGCGGAATATTTGATCTTGATAAGAAGTGCGGATGGTGTGATGGCTAGTGACTGAAGAGATACGACGGTTTTTGTATAGATGATGCCAGTTACCTATGTAGGCACTAGAATATTTTGAATCAGGTGTCTTAGAGAATGCCAGATTCTTAAGGGCTGGCATGGGATCGGGCCCACACCAGAGCTATCCTTCTGAGCAGCTCAAAGCAAACTTCTCATTTGGAACTACTGATGAACATTCTACATCATCTCATCTCTGAAGCATCTTTCTTGCTGTGGAGCTTCCACTGATAGCTACTTGCTAGAGAGTAGTGATTCTGAAGAATCGGGGTTGGTACTCGACGTGCCTGAGCAGCTCTAAGCGGTTCGCCGAGGAGGTTTTCTACCTCAATGTATTGTTCCTGAGGGAGATTTAGCACGATTTTCTTCTGAGCAAGGAATGTTGATAACATGTGGACCATGGCTATGGTGTGTTTGTAGGAATGAGCTGAAAGGGGGGAGATCATGAGGTGCTGAGTAGGCAGGCATGGACTGAGAACACTGACCTTTCTAACATCTATCAACATACTCGGTGACACGTGAGCATCAATAGGTTCTGTCACAATCGTTGCTTCTATCATCTCATCTGTAAGCTCCTGTCCATAAGCTGCGGCTGCAGCTTGTATTTCTTTCATGCCAGGCCGTATAACCTCGTCAACGAGGCCAGGACAAAGCTGCATATCACCAGTGTCCAGTCTTGTCAGAGCACCAACTGGGTTGTAGACAGCATTATAGAGGAGCTTCTTCCATCTAGAGAAGGTGACGTTATCATCGTAGTGGCAAGTGCAGCGTCCTCCAGCATTGAAGCGTGCTACAAGATCCTTTGCTCGCTCAGCAGCGTTGCCAGAGTCTTCAAAGGGGCCAATACGCAGCTCATCGTGCAGATTGTGTTCGATGATGCCAGATTTGGGCTCCGAGGAACCACACATGCTGATACCAGAGAGAATTACGTTATGTGGAAATGTCTCCTGGAAAGGAACTTGAATGTTGAGTCCATTCTGAAGGAGCAAGATGGTAGTGTGTCCGGCCGTAACGGCAGGGCGTATCATATCAGCCACCGGTGTAGAGATGACTGGTATGTTCTTGGTGGCACAGATAATGTAGTCGAAGGGTGAGATGCTGGACTTGTAGGCATCAGGAATAGATGGTAGGACTGTATCAAGGTTAGTTGATGGATGATGTGAGACTCGAAGTAACTTACTCTCGGTTGGCCTGAAGCCTGAAATTTGACCATGATCGACAGAATTGATGGTGAATCCTCGCTCTTTGACTATCTGATAGCTTGAGCGCAGCACAGCTGTAACCTCAGCCCGGCCTCCGAACTCGAGGTTGAGGGCTGCTATACAGCCTATTCCCCCACAGCCGACGAGTAGAATTCTTGCCTTATCCATTGGGACTCTTCTGTGTTGCCATCAATGCTGAAAGAAAAGTTCAACGCAGAAGTATTGAGTTCCAGCCTCGATATCATGGTTGTTGAGAGGGCGCACATGCTGCTTGCGGGGCCGGCTACGGACCGGTATCTCAGTTAAGACATTGGACATGATTGGGCGACTAGTCAAGGAGAGTAATAAGCAGCAGGTAGTCTCCGAATCTCTGTGTGGTTATACAGTTCGATATAATATCGCTAATATAAGTGTTGGGAGATTGTCTAGATTGTGTGCCTGCGTCCGTGAAACGTTGGCATCGGATGCAATTCGATTATTTTGTCTTGCCCGTTTGATTCTGATCCTTGCGACGTCAAGCATGCTTTTTCTCTCTCGCAAACTAAACCTTGAGAGGACATCTATCACAAGACCTGCAACGGTGACCGAGGATCCCTTGGTTCGATATGTTTCCTCTCCTACGACCTTTCCCCTTTTGGAGCTTCCCCTCATTTTCCTACATACTGTACCAGTAGAGAAGAGATGTCAGTTTATGGTTGTTAGTTGCCTGCTACCTCTAGCTCCCCAGGTAGGCTCTCCCTACCCCAGTCCCGGGTCACCTAAACGAAGTCCCCTAGTGGCACGGGCCAGACGTTCTCGCTTCAACTGCTGGTCTCATTCGTACATAAGTTAATGAATGTCTTGGTCTTGTGTGAAGCGAATGTGAGACAGAATCGTCTCAAACTCTCTCCTCGTCCAACTGCTTCCCTCATTTTGACCATCATCATATCATGACCGTTCCACAACCGATTTCTCCTCGCCCTCAGGCTCCTATTGCCACAGCTTTGCCCAATGCTCCACCAACCGACTTCTTTTCTCCTGTTCAATGGGACGTCTTCTTTGCACTTGTCGACGGTGTCTTGCCCTCCATCACCTCAGAGTCTGATGTGACCGACGATCAGGCTCAGATTCAGCTTCCAGACCATCAAGTCGATGCTGTCCTCGATCGTAGTGCCGAGGCTCTGGCAGCCCCAGCCACTAGAGACAATATCCGTGCCTTTCTCCGTGATAGGCCTGTCAATGATGCTCGCTTTAGAGATAACCTCATGAGGACCCTGGCCATATCCCCGCCCGACCAACTCAAACGCCTTGCTGGGTTATTGAGCTTGATGTCGTGAGTACAACTAAACGGGCCATGCTTCCATTCGTTACACGTCACTAAGTTTTTTTTCCCCCTCAAGCACCCGTCCTGGTAGCTACTTCATCACCGGCTACTGGCAACCAATATACAACCAGCCCACCCACGTCCGCGAAGCCATCCTCAAATCATGGGCCACATCTCCCAAGGAACGCTGGTCCGCTCTGGCCAAAACGATGTCTGCCATGTCTTTCAAGGCATATTCTCAAACCAGTTCGGCTCTCTACCAGCTCTCGGGCTACTCAGATGCCCCCAAGGACTGGCAGCCCAAGGAAACCTTCGACTATGACTTTCTTCAGATCGAGCCCGGCGACGACGCACATGCCATAGAGACCGACGTTGTCATTATCGGTTCCGGCTGTGGCGGAAGTGTCTGTGCCAAGAATCTAGCGGAGGCTGGCCACAAAGTCATTGTCGTGGATAAGGCCTATCACTATCCTTCAACACACCTCCCCATGGCTCAG